TTTAATAAACTGAATCTGCAAATATTATTTTTAAATTTGAATATGCTAATCTGATTATGGAATCCAATACAGTAAAGTAAAATATAATAAACCTGTGCTAAAAATTTTTTATGTTTTATCTGCTCACAAGATATATTGTTAAAAATTTTTTTCTGCTTCATAAGATACACTATGCTAGAAAAGGTATTTGAATTTCTATTATAGTATTCAAATGATGAACAGTAAACAGTCAGTTATTAGGCATAGCAAATAATCTACAAACAGATAAACTCCATAAAACTAGTTGTGCATTTTCAATCTTAAAACAAAAAAAAAGGCTAAACATGTTTTTTTACACCTTTCTAAAAAACCATTAAATATATAAAAAAATGTCAACAAATTTTGTTAACAACCCTTCTAAAATGAAGTTTAGAGGCACTTTCTTATACAAAAATAACAATATAAGTGTTGTCAAATTTGGCAACAATGTCAATATGTGAATCAAAAGAATAAGTCTTAATATTGCAAAAATTTAGTTTGTAGATGATCGAGGAAATAGTATCCAAATACTAAATGGTGTTATACTTAGAGATACTCTTAATAACTTTAATGAAACACCTCAAGTAGTTAATAGGTTTGAAACTTACTTTGTATATTGGATTTCCAACTGTATTACTGCTAAATGGTGTTGTAGTTTTTGCATTAAAAAACTAAAACTAACAATTAATAAAAGTAGTAGATAAATTTAGATATTCTATTATTGAGCAATAGTTCTTTAATAGAATCTCATATAGTCTTGTAGGAAATTTTAAATAGATTATAGTGTCATATTAACAAAAAGATTACATACTGCATTTTTACCTTTTATTGCATAATCAATAAAATAGATATTAAGTTAATTTAAAAGCTAAGTTTGTCCATCATAGATGCTAATTTTAGCCTGTATTAACCAAAAGCAAATTAACTCTTTATTTTAATTTATTGGTTATTAAAGAGAAATTGGTAGAAGCCTTAATTTTTATTACTAATTCTTTTATTTGTTTTTATGATCAGGTTACTTTACATGATTGAAATTAATCCTTAACAGAAAGGTATAATTATTTCAATAATATTGATAAGTTAAGTTTTATGTATTAAACTAAAAGATCCTTAGTTATATAAAAACACTTCAAAAATAGAATAGTCAAACCTAATTTTTTTATTACTTTGTTATCATAAATCTATAAGTGATGAGATCATGATCATGATCTGGTAATAAAATAGAAAAAATAAGGTTTTCTTTTTATTGAATATAGCACTTGAAATATAATATTATTGTATTTATATATTTTTACTAATACCTTCTGGTATAAGTTCAAAGTCCTTGATATACTAAACTAATAATATCTTAATTTTTAATTCCTGTGTTTTAGTTAAAGATAAAAATTTTTAAGTAGTGTCATCATTAAAAATCTACTTAATAACATGTTGGTAACAATTTTCCTAAAGATCAAGGCCAGCATATTGAGTATTTTTTTTTAATATACATTATTTAAGATCAGTTATCATTTGAATATAATGTTAATGTAGTTAGAAATAAAAAACAAAGTATTATTAGCAAGAACCATAAGGTGAAAGAAGGAGTGGTTCAAAAAAAGATAAACTTAATCTGATGATACAAGCATCTTTTAAACAAAAACAAAATAAGATTACATATATTGAAAGTGAGAAGTGAATTTTCAATGATCAAAAAATTTATGATGATCATAATAAGTTTATAAAACTCTGCTTATATATATATATAAAAATTGTTAAAAGGAGATTAAAGAAGGTTTATATTGCATTTGGCATTAATATTACAGATAATAATACTCATATTTCATAATTCAATTTTTTAAAAATCATCAATATTATATTATTTTTTATTAAATATAGGTGATAGATTTATACTTCATAGGTTAGTATAAGAAAAAGTATAAAATATTATTTGCCTATTACTAAAACAAAACTTCTTTTCTGTAAAGAGTTATTTGAAGAGATAGAAGATTTTGTTTATATATTATTGACCTTGCAGATAAGAATTAAATATAGATAGAATTTAATCATTGTATTGTATTTTTTAAAAACTTCTATATCATTTTAGAATAAAATAATTGTAAGTTTACATAATCTTAGTTAATAAATAGTTTTGCATATCTTTTTTGTATTTTGTTTTTATTTTTTTATAACAATAAAGCTGGCTCTAATAGCTAATTTTGTATATATAATTGTGTTTACTTTTGTGTATATATTGAGTAAATTTATTTATTGTATTATTATTAATTTTTTTTTTTTCAGTATTAAGGTGATCTCTTTGATCTTTTAACTTTATTAATACTTCTGTCAGGTATTATGACGAGTGTACAACTGGCTACACATGTAATTTTTCTATATTACCTATTTAAAAGGTCTGCCCAAAGGTTCCCTATTAGTTGCCATATCTAACACCTCTGCTTAAGTGTTTCATTTAAACTCTCTGATCCAAAACCCTTGTACCAACTTCACTAGGTCAAGTTCAGATCCTTGTCTCAACTTTAAAACTATTTTATCCTTAAGATAAACCTACCAGAGCCTTCGTATCCTACATATAGCTAATCTGGATTTCATATAACATGCTATAGTTACCTAACACTTGCAGTTAGAGCTAACTTTAAACTGCTATATTACACTATTTTTACTTTTGAAAGTTCATCCAAACCCTGGTACCTATCTTTCTGACTTCTTCTTTTCATCCTTATACTATTTAACTCAGAATCTGACAGACTCTTCAGACTCCCAATCCAGATAGCCTGGTATGATATACTTTTTGGTATCCTTTTTCTCTGGCGATTTCAGTGACCTGGTTGGTCATGTGCTCCTTTACACATCTTTCCATCTGGTTGCATATCTGCCTATTCTTTATTAGGGTTTCCTGGGCTTCTATTGGTCTGATAGTACTATTAAAGGTTTGTGCTACCTCTTTCTTGGAATTTCCAAGTGGGATTCTGTCTCCTCAGTTTCTTGGTCTTCTACATCTGGTGGTCTTATCATAGGTTTGCACCAGAATCTTATGCAATCTTAGTTTTAACATTCCTTTATGTACATGTAATGTTATATTTTATATATATGCTCTGGGCTCCCAATAACGAGTAGAACCCAATTGGTTGTACTCAAGATTACAGATACCTAAATTCAACTGATCGATAGGAGACAGTTTAGCCATAACACAGATTAATTTCCAAATTTCGTCATAGGTAGGATTTGAACCTTAGATCTGTTACTTGAAGGATAACAACCCAACTACTACACTATTGTATTATTATTAATATATTGTATATTATCTATATATGATTAAAAATTTTTTAGTAAAGTGATAGAACATGAAATTTTTTATACAAACATTAGTCTGCAAACAATAATATAAATGTTATGTATTTTTATTTTAATTTTGCAAGTTTGAAAAAAAAAAATAATTACTTTCTTTGAATTTAAATCTAAGCATATAGTGATCACTTACTCTTTGATTTGAGCAAATTTATAAGACAGTAGTATTAATATTTTTTTTTTAGAAAAAACTGTTAATTAAGTTAATGATTAGCCAAAAAAAATTTATACATTTTTTTTGATTTAAATATTAACATACAGAGTATAAGAATATTATTAATACAATATAGGCTATGCAATCTGAAATAGATTTATTAAGGCAATGCATTACTAAGCTTGAAGCCAAAAAAGCTAAGTTTAAGATTGAAAATGCTGAGATTTCTCAATTTAGAAAGAAGCTTGCTAAGGTTGAAGTCAGAAATGCTAAACTTATAAAGCAAATTATAAAAAATAATAATAAATATGATGCTAAAATTAAGAATACTACTAATAGAGTTGTAAAACTGGAACAGAAACAATTGCAGAATGATAATACTTTTAGTAACAACTCATTTAACTTCAATTTGACTGCTGACTACTATAACAAACTATTATAAGATAAAAAGATAAATACTTTCTTAGATAAAATGCATAAGAAAAACATTGTTGATAAAATAAGATAATGCTATAAGAAGAAAAAAATTCAGTATTAGGTGAATACACAAAATATTACACTTGATTCTGTATGTATAATAAGCACAGTTGCTATTGTTAATAATTTGGATAAGTTGAAAAGTTAAAGTGTCAATAAAATTAATAGCTATACTTCTTCAGAATCATTTTGCAAAATAGAGATCATTGCAAATATTTTACAGAACCATGCTCAGAAATGTATTGTAAATTTTATTATAGATTTGAAAATACTATATAACATAAAAACCATAAACAAGTTAATAATTAGAATGTTTTAAAAATATTAGAAGAAATCAAAAAAACTATTAACCAAGTTAATAATCAAGATAAATTAGTAATAGATCAGAATATAGTAACTAAATTCATTCAAGATTTGTTAAAAACAACTTCAAGATATAAAGTTTTTTTCTTCTAGAACCCTAATTTCTAAATTAATAAGTATTAAAAACTTGCCAATTTCTTCTGCCAAGTGAATGTTGCAAGAAATAAATCAATTATATAAAAACAGGTAAAAATGACAACTTAGTGTTTATACTTTGAAAGATTTAATAATAAGGTCATAGAGCTTAGATCCAAAGATAAGAAACTTGTAAATAAAACTATAAGATTACAAATTTACACTGAAATAAAACTATATCTTACAGGTATTTCTGATAGATATTTACATATAATGACCTGTAAAGCCAGAAAAGTCACTAAGTTATTTGGCTATAAATATGATCTCATAACTCTAAAAAAGATTGATAATATAGCAATATATATAGTTAATTAAATTACTTGTAGTACTGACAGAATTTTAAGACTAACTAATCCTTAAATCAAATACATTATAGAACAAATCAAATCAATGATAATTACTAGTTATATAAATGAAATCTTTAAGACTGTAGTTACTAAAACATCAAATATTACAGTTTATTTTAATGAAGAGGTTTTAAGAAAAAAAATAAATAAATAAATCAATTGAAATGGTCTCTAAAAAGTCTGAAGTAATTACTAAGACACCAGAAGTACAAATAGAACTTTTAGTTTCAAATAAATATAATATATATATTGATAAGAAAGAATTAAAGAAGGAAAAAAAGGAATCTAATGAAGTTAAGTCAGACAATGACAATAATTCTAGTAATTTTGAAAAAGAAATACTAAATGAATCAGACATGTATAATGACAAAGAAAATAAATATATTTAATAATAGAATAAATAAATAATTGCTAGTAATTTTACTTGTTTTAATGATGAAAAAGATGCAAGTTATTATTATAATTTAAAAACTGGTAGTATAACTTATAAAAAATCAATTAGCATATATTAACATGTAATACTAAAATCTTAATAGTAACTATAATAGTATAGATTAATAAAGTTAGCTTAATAGTCTCATTTTTTCTTTTTAGCAAAATTGAAAAAAAAATCTAGTAATTAATTTAGGATTTATCTACTTTTTGATTTTGAGAAATAAAATTATAAGAAAACAGTTCACAAATTATATTATAAAAAATTATATAAAAATAAAAAATAACTAGAGCTTAGAACTTCTTGTTTATTTCATAATTGTTGCTTTTTTTTTTTTAAATATTAAGGTAAGTACTTGCAATCTAGGATTTTATTAATAGTATATTTGACTAATAGTTATATTACAACTATAGAGAACAACTATGAAAAAAGTATACAACTAGTTACTTGTACAACTTTAGTTATTTTCTAATTTAAGTAGTCTGCTCAAAGGTTCTATACTAGCTGCTATACCTGGAACCTGCTTGTAGATTTCCTATTTAACTATTTTAGTTTCTATATTCATTTACCTATCTCTGCCTACTAATGATCTTGGCTGATGCCAGTGAAAATATGCCATGATCACTAATTTTTTAAAGCAGTTTTTTGAAACTTTTAACCTTGTTTTAAACCTTCTAAAACTTTTTATATTCTATTCTTATAGCTAACCTGATATTGTTATGACCAAGACCAACACTGATAATTAGGATGCATCATTAAACTGCTATGCTTTTGTAGAGTTCACTCCAATTCTAGTACTGACTTTACAATATATCTCTACTACTTTGGTATTCAATTCAAGTTCTACCAAGCTGCTATTTTAAATAGTCCAGAAAGATAAACTATAAACATATCTCTGGTTTACATATTTGCCAGCATGTATTTTTTTTCTTTAAAATTCAGAAATTTCAATAGCCTGGTTGGTTCATCTGGTCTCTCCTGAAAAACTAGTATATTTGTCTGGTTTCATAAGTTCTAGCTTCATTTCATAGGTCTAGTCTTTACAGTAGTATTGTCAAAAGTTCAAGTTATCTTTCTATTCAGATCTTTTAAGTAAACTTTCATTTTTCTATTTGGTTTCTGTGATTTATACAGCCTAAAGACTTATCTTGAGTTTACACTACTTGGTACTGGTTTGTGTTCCTTTAAACAACATTGTACAAGTGTTTTAATCTTTTAGTTATATTGGTATGATACAAGTTTAGATATCTAATTTTAACTAATCACAGAAGACAGTTAACTATAATACAGAAAGAATTGCAAATTTTTGCTATCACTGGGATTTGAACTCTAGATCTGTCACTTGAGGATTGACAATTTATTTACTTTACTAAGTTACTACATCTCCTTTTATAATTGTTACTAAGATGACAATATACTAATAAAAAATACAAATAAAAAATAAATACTTCAAAAAGGCACTCTTAATAGGTTATGTTGATGGTATTATATTCAATTTTGATCTAACATATTCTGATGCTAACCAGGATTTAGTCAAGAAATATTATAATTTTTCTTATTATGTACTAGGTTTTTTTTTGACATTCTTTCTCAGATTTTATTATCTAATTTTTAATAAAAAACTTGGTTTAAATAATGTTAACATTAAGAGTTTTATACATTTTTGATCATAACTTTTGATGTACTAAACCAAATTAGATGAAATAACCACCATTGGATTCAGCTCACTGAGATGATTCTAACAAGTACAAGATCATGTAATTCTGATTATGTAATTACAAGATCGGAATAATTTTGATGAAAAGTACTAATTATAATACATGTGACTTGATTCTGATTGGCTCAAATTACTGTGCTAGAAATCTTACATTTCTTATAGATCTTATAGATATTACAGATATTACATTTCTATTAGATCTATCATTTCTAACAGATCTATCATTTTTATTATATCTACTATATTTATTATATATATTATATCTATTATATCTATTAGTTCTTATTACTATAAATAGCATTTATTAGCAATAGAGT